ACTCTGGTCCCTGACTGTCACTTGCTTACCCTGGCACCCTGAGCAACATTAGCTGCCCTCAAATGGATGGCAGGGGACATCAGGGCTGGCTCTGGGCCCAGATGTAAGGAGTGAAACACAGGGCAGAGAAGTCCAGGATGCTCATACTGAGTTATGACTTAGACTGATCAGGGGTCATGGACTCCTTCTTGCCAAGTTTTCTTCCTGGAGGTCAGCCATCTTGTTTGGATGGCCCAGCATTTTTGCCTTGAGGTAGCCAGAAGCTCAAATAGGGAGACCTTGGTAGATGGAGTCAGGGAGCCCAGGAACTCTGGCCAGCCCACCAAGGATCTGTAGCATAGCCCAACACATTTATGACCTCTCCAGACCTCAGTTTTTCCCATCTGAGAAATGAGAGTGTGGATAAAACAAATTGTAATGGCTCTAACATCTTGAAAATATCACATCCCCAAACCTGACTTCATCTGCAGCCAAATACTAATATCCCTGGGGCTGAGTGATTTCATTTAGGTCATATGATTTCCCTGCACATAAACAGGAGTGAAACAAAGGCCCCCTTTCTCCAAGTTGTTAGCTCTCACACACAGGTTCACACACACTCACACACATGCACATACACTCTCATAATGCTTATACAGCCCACCCCCCAACCCCAGTTGTGCACAAAGGCACACACACACAGGCTCGCAGAGGCACAAACACCTGGACTCTCTAAGCTGCTCCTTCCCCCACCTCACTCTTGCTTGCTCCCTGCCCCCCAACCCTTTCTGACACCCCTGCTGGGAAGCTGAGCGCCCTGGTGCCTGTGAGCTACCTAACCTGATGGGCTGGTGCCACCCAATGGTCAGGATCAGAAATGCATCCTTGGTTCCAAGAATCAAAAGGGACTGGAAAGGGTCCAGGTCACTGGGTACATCCCTCTCCTAACAAGGCTGTGTCCAGAGCTGCCACAGACAGATGAAGTTTCTGTGGTCTTTAAAACCTTTCTAACAAGGGCTTCCTTACATGACACCTCTAGTTCTTGTCAGGAGTTTGCCATTGACACTGGGCAACCTTACACTAGAGCCTAAAATTATTAGGTACAAACTGTGTGTTCAGCACCATTCTAGAAGCTTTGTAGGTGATATCTTTTTAATGTTCACAACAGCTGTCTTTTCAGGTCATATATCACTGCCTTCATTGTGAAGAGCTGCAACCAAGAAGGAAGGGCACTAAGATAGTACGTGAGCTCTAATTCAGCAGCCACTTAGCCATCTTGGACCTCAGTTTTTCCATTTGTATATGATTAGTTTCATTCACTCACTCATTCATTTCATGAGTATTGATTGAATATCCAAAATATCCAATGGGCCAGGATCTGTGTTGGGGGCTGATCTTCAGCAAGTGCCCTTATGGAGGTCCCAGTCTTCTGGAATCAATGACAACTTATATCCTCCTAGGCCCCTGACTCTATTACCTTAGTGGCTTTTTTTTTTTTTTTTTTTTTTTTTGCCAAATTGGAAAAAGGCCCTAAGGGGAGGAACATAAATAAGCTATAGTCCAGGGTGACAAGGTGGCCAGGCCACAGAGCAGGAGGGAGGTCAGTGTCCTTGTCCAAGAGTCCCCTGATGGTCTGGGACTGGTGAATCTGAAAGTGCCTCAAATCTGCCCAGGGACCAGACCCACTGAGGAAGAAGGAACTGTGGTTATCTGGCTTCAGAGTAGGTGACCTTTGTGCCGCACCAAAGGCTTCTGTGAGTACGGCAGGCAGGTTGGAGCCAGAGGAGGGGAAACATTTCAGAAGCCGGAAGATGAACTGAAGGAACAAAGCTTTAATAATAACTGTGCTTACCATAGCATCTGTCTCCACCTATTTTCTCCCAAATTCACACTGCCCCAGACTCACTTCCTGTGCCCCCTAATCCCCCTCCCCCAGTTTACCAGTTCTTAACCTTCACTCGTTCTCTTTCTAAGTAATGGAATAATAGAATCCTAGAATGTCAAGCACTGGAAGAAATCATCAAGTCTAACCTTTGTAACTGAGGAAGATAGGACTGGAAAGGGTTAGAACTTGCCCCAAATCACACGGCCAACGAATAGTTGGGCCTAGAGTTCAGGTTTAAGACTTTCTAGTGTGAAGTACTTTTCCTCCTTTTCCCTCTTTATTTCCACTCACATGTACTTAGACACTGATGAGAGGCTACTACAATTCTGAAACATCTCTTCATCTTTCCTCTTTTTAACTTCCCCCATTCAGCCCTACTAGATCATAAGCCTTTTGAAGATAGAAAATATCTTTCCTTTGGGGCACCTGGGTGGCTCAATTGATTAAGTGTCCGACTCTTGATTTCAGCTCAGATCATGATCTCATGGTCTGTGAGTTCCATCCCCGAGTCTGTTGGGCTGTACTGACAGCATGGAGCATGCTTGGAATTCTCTGTCTCCCTCTATCTCTTCCTTTCCCTTGCTCACTCTCTGTCTCTATGTCAAAATGAGGAAATAAATATTTTTTAAAATCTCTTTCCCTTTTCTAAAACCTTAATGCTTAGCACAATGATTAGCATGTAAATTCTTAAGATTGGATGGATGGATGGATGGATGGAAGGAAGGGAGGAAGGAAGGAAGAGAGGAAGGAAGAATAAATGGAATAGTGAATAGAAGCATGGGTGAGTGAAGTCTTTTACATGGAATTTCTGAAGTCACCTCTTACCTCTTCTCCCTGTCTTCAATTTCCCCACAATCTTGACTATCCTTAATAGTGGTATTAGAATAACCCTTTTGTAAATAAAACAGAATATTTCTATTTATCATGTGTAAAAGCATTTGAAGGCTTTCCTATCATCTAATGAATAAGTCAAGACCAGTTATCTTACAATACACTCTAAATGAATCTTTCATCTTCCACACCAGACTCATAGGTTATTAATCATATAAACACATACACAGCACACACCCTAAACCCTAAAAACACTTAACAAGTCGTCATTCCATAAAGGAAGAAGGGATAGCCTAATTTTCAGGACTTTGTACCATTCCCATATTCTCAGATTCCTTTCCTGCCAGTAACATAATCTATTAAAATCCTAACCAAACTTCAAAACCCAATTCAAATGCCATCTCCATGAAGTCTTCCCTAATTCCCTTGATGACATTGGTATACTCAGAGCATGTGATCCTTCAGGCTTTGGTTAGCATGGTACTCCTCATTCTGCCCCTCTTAAAATGACCTTTCAAGACCTTTATAGTGGACATTGTAGCTGGTGGTTTTTATGTCCATTGCTCCCAACAGACTCTTGGCCACAGATCTGAGGATCTGACACAAAGTAAGTGCTTATTTGGCATTTGTTGAATGGACCTTCTTCTCACTACACCATATGCTCCAATTGTCCCTGAGGGTGCAGTTATATTTTATTCTAAAACCACTTAAGTTATTTCCTATGCCATTATAAGCAGGAGCTCTACAGGAGCAGAACACAGTGTCTCCAAAGAGCTACAGCTCTAGGGCAGGGACAGAGCAGGATTATAGAGCTGAAAGTATTGCATAAGCAAAAGCAGCTCTCGCAGGGAGGAGGCATGTCCAGGGAAAAGAACTGAACTCCATTGGTGGAAGACCTGAGGAGTCAAATTTGGTCTCAACATGGAATTTTGTCCATAATAAGAACTAAAAAGCAATGGGTCAGGCTGCCTCAGGAGTTAGTGAGCCCTCTGGTCCTGCAAATATCTATGTAGCGGCCCTAGACAACCACGGAGGACAAATATGAGGATATGGGATATTGTACAGTGGACAATAGCAATGGGAGTAAGGTCAGATGACATGACTTGTAAGGTCACCTCCAGCACTGAGAATCAGGGATTCTATCACATCTTCCAAGAATGGCCCGAGCAAAACTACCAAAGGCTCAAGTTGACTTCTATTGGCCCGAGCAAAACTACCAAAGGCTCAAGTTGACTTCAATTGCTCCTTCATGCCCTTAATTTCAGAGCTCATCCTGACCCTCCAAGAACTCCCATTAGAGGGTTGCTGGGGGTAGGAGATCCTCCTCTTGGTGCCCCTGGAATATCCACTTAGCTGACCCTGGAGGTCTCCTGTGTCTTGGTGGATGGTTCTCGTATCCACTGATATCTCAAATGGCCCTGGTGGGATTGGGGTGCAGGTGCCCACAACAGAGACCACCTTCCTTGGCTTCTCTCCTTTCCTTGTTCACTCCCCCACTCTCTCACTGCTCCCTAGAGTCACTTTCTAAATAATCTACTTATACCCAAATCTTTGTCTCAGGGCCTGTATTGAGGGATACAACTCATTCTCCACAGTGAGGGGCCAAACCGCAGACTTTGTGGTTACTCAGCATGAGATAGAAAACTCAGTTTGGCGACCTGGAGAAAGATAATAAACCTCTCTGAACCTACTTCAACATGTGAAAAAAAGGTTGCTAAGACCTGCTTCCCAGACTTCATAATGTTGTATGTGACACAGCTCTCTGTAGTTGTATTCACTGGGTGCTAACTATGTGCTAAGATAAAGAACCACCTATATAATCTCTAATTACTAACTTTCCTACCAAATGAAAAGTACAAAGGAGATTGTAGTGGGTTGATGGTGCCCCGCCCACAAAAGCTTTGCCCCTGGATCCTGTGATCTTATTTCAAAAAAGGGTCTTTCAGATGTAATTAAGTTAATGATCTTGAGATGAGAACATCCTGGATTACCCAGGTGGACCCTAAATTCAATGAAGTGTTCTTATAAGAGACAGACTAAGAGAAGACACAGCGGAGAATGTGTGAAGGCACAGGCAGAGATTGGAGTGATGAATCCACAAGCCAAGGATGCCTGGAGTCACCATAAGCTGGAAGAGATAAGGAAGGATTCTCCCCTAGAGCATTTAGGGGGAGCTCAACCCTGTTGACACCTTGATTTGGGATTTTTGGATTCTAGAACTTTGGGGGAATACATTTCCGCTGTTTTAAGCCACCATGTTTGTCCTGAGAAATGACTAAGATAGTATTTATTGTCCTCGTTTTAGAGATAAGAAAACAAAGGCTTACCAAAAAGGTGACCTACCCAGAGTCATCCAACCAAATATGACAGAGCTGAGATTTGAACCCAAATCTATTTGACTGCATAGTGCCCCCTCTTACTCACCATGGAAGTAAGTTGTATCACGTACCTAGCATTGTGCCAGATTCATTACAGATGCTCAGCGTGTTAATTTCCTCACTCTCAACTTTTCTTTCCTGTTGTCCATGCTACCCACTGCCCATTGCTAGGCAGTCAAGAGTTAATCAGATTACCCAGTTCCTGCTAACCCATGAGCTCTCCTGGAGTGGATTCTACCTAGGATACAATTACACACGCCCAGAAGGTCCTTAAGAATCGACTTGTCTGGTAAGCATTTCACCTCCACAGCAGCCGGTGGAAAAGATAAATTGGGGCCTGTGCCTTGAGTTAATGTCAGTCTGAATTGAAGATGTGCCAGCATCATCAGAATAGATTCTTTAATTAACCTGCTAATCCTGTCAGGGATTGGGTTCACTCTCTTCTTCCAGAAATGTGTTAGGTGTCTCTTCTTTCACCACTTTGTCATTTGCTCTATTTTAGATTCAAGGTGTCCTTTACGCTATGCTTCAGAAGGCGCTCTGTCCTCCAAGTCAACAGCTGTTGGCAAAGTGGCCCCTCAAGCAGCATCTTATTGCTTTCCTGCCACACTCTTTTCACAGGGTCTTCAAGAAGCAACGCAACAGGAATTGTCAGGCAAAAAGACATTTTGAGCAACTATTTTGTGCTTGGCCCTGATCTATGCACTGCAGAAGACCAGGAAGTAACACCCAGGTCCTGCCTTCAGGCTCCTGCCTTCAGAGAGGGAGAAAATAAAGCAGGCGACTGTAGTGTTTCCCAGTCTTTTTATTTGATGGTAGACATAGCAAGTGGTAGTAATTGTAAGGGAAAATTAAGATACATTCAAAAAGCTGCTAGTGGTCAGAGGAGATCAGCGCAGGGGTTCAAACTCCCTGGACCCCACCAAATCACCCCATGGATGAGGGTACCTGTATTCTCCACTTGCCCTGTGCCGTTTGGAAAGGTATGCTGGTAGAAAATCAGAGCTTTCATCTTTCAAGAATTTGTGCTCCCACCGGTTGAATGTGGATTCTGCTATTAACATTCAACATTGTCAGTTCTTCCTCAATTTGTCGGATATATGATATTAACAAAGAACATTTCTTTAGCTACAACTGTTTCCATGTCTCTCCCCCAATTTTTTTTCTTTAAAACTTCAGATCCAGCTACCTATAAACTTCTAGACTGGGGTCACAGGAAACAGAACAAATGGGCAAGGAACAAGTGATCAGAACCAATTGATAATGTTTCATTCAATAGCTACTGTTGCTTCTTGGTTTACTTGAAGACATGCGGGTGTTTTTATAGTTTGTTTTCTGGTATTTGCATTTAGAAAGATGATCAAACCATGAAAGACTCTTGAATGCTGAGAACAAACTGAGGACTGATGGGGGGGGGGGAGGAGAAGGGGGGTGATGGGCATGGGGGAAGGCACTTGTGAGGATGAGTACTGGGTGTTATTTGGAAACCAACTTGACAATAAACTATTAAAAAGAAAAAAAAGTAAAAGTAAAAAAATTTTTTTAAATTTCAAAAATCTGTAAAAAGGACCCCAGATTCAGTCATTCTGCAGCCTGAGTGGTTTTTGAAATCCACTGAAACAAAGTAACCCCCCATAAAAGTACAAATAAGATCCTCCAGAGATTATAAAATTCTTGTGTGTGATGAAGAAATGATGTCTCCTCTTGAGAGCTATCCTTAGTTGTACTCTATATTGCCCTGTTGCTTTTATCTACATAGTAGAGTGTGTTGGGGGAGAGAAAGCCAATGAGACAAACCAGAATCATGTGTGATGTATTGAGAAGAACATACCAGAACCTCAGTGGTTTCCTGCCAGAGATGTACACTTGAATCTAATCATGAGAAAACATCAGGCAAACTCAAAGGAAGGGACACTCTACAAAACAGATGGCTTACATGCTTAACAATATGTCAATATCTTCAGACAAGGAAATCTTTCCCGATCAAAGGACACTAAAGATTCATGAAAATTAAATGCAACCTGTAGTCCTGAACTGGGTCCTGACTCGGAGGGGAAAAAATTGCTATGAAAAACACTGTCCACATAATTGGTAAAATTTTAATAATTTCTGTAGATTAATATCAATATTAAATTTCTTGATTTTGATAATTATACTGCAATTACATAAGGAAAAACCCTTGTCCTTAGGAAAAGCACACTGAAATACTTTAGACAGATAGATTGATAATGGAATATGGAAAAATGTGGCAATTGCTAACAATTAGTAACCCGGGTGTTGGTATATGGGAGTTCTTTTACAATTATTTCAACTTTTCTGTAATTTATAAGGACGCTAGTTATATTGGGTTTGAGCCTACCCTAATGACCTCATTTGAACTTGATTACCTCTGTAAAGACTATTTCCAAATAAGGACACATTCTAAGGTATTAGGAATTGGGGGGGGGGGGGCACACAATTCAACCCATAACACTCACCTGTGAATATGGAGTCCCAGACCCCATTATTTCTACGAATCCTTATAACATTAACATTTTACATTTCTAGAAGTCCAAGACTCCCAAAATCCAATCAGTGCTTATTGGCTGGCCAGAACTCAGCTCCAACCCATTCCAAAGATACAGGATGTTTTTCGTTTGTTTGTTTAGGGAAGCAAAGACCCCATGCTTAGTGTAGAAGCTCCTATGGTGCTGAAGGATGTGACATCACCAAGTATAAATTTCAAGGTGTATGAAACATAAGCCTAAACTGTAAAGCCATAAAGTTTGGACTAAATTAAAGTCCAGACTTAATATCTCAAAGGCATAAGGGTTCTGTCCCAATTCTAAATCCACCATAGGCCCTTGATTAAAATCTGTTGGTTAAAAAAAATTACCTTTCATTATGATGCATTTCCTCATTTTTCTTCCATATTGAGAGTGACAATTTCCATTTGTGATGATCAGCCACAACATGGATGCAAACGTGCTAAGTAAAATTAGGTGTATCAGAGCGCCTGTCTTATAAAAGACCATTTTACATCCTAACCCAGCAAGCGGAGAATTACTCCTGCTCTCTCTGTACTATATGCAAATGCTCAGATTATAGCTAATTATATTGTTGCAAAGCAGAGCCAAGAAACTGCTACAATACTTCTAGTCTCCTTGGGGAACACGCCATGAAAAGAACTTTTTTTTTCTCCTTTGTAAATTATACTATGATATAATTGGGTCTCACTGTTCATGTAACACCCCGCTCAGGGATAGCGCAAGAAAAACGAACAATGTCTTACTAAGTCCCTGTTAAGATCATTAAATGTAGATCACAACACACTAGCAGGCGCCCAAATCTTAATGTGTCACAGTAACAAAACCGGGAAAAGAAGAAGTGACAAGTTGCGTCATATTATTTTTCTCTTACAATGGAGTTTAAGGTAATAAAGTGTTAATGAATTCGGCCCTGCGTAGTTGGCATTGTGAGAGAACTTCTTTTTATTTTTTACTACATTGTAGAAAAAATTGTCATATTCTGTTAGGCAGCTGTTTAGAGAAAAGCTTTGACAGTGTATAATTGACTCTATTTTTACTGCATTTTCATACGGCATTGTTAGAATTATATACTATACTGAGTTCTGCTTTTCAGTTTTACACACTGAGAAATTTTCCTCTTAGACAATTTTTCACTGGGGATGAAAGAGAGCCCAGCTAGCCAGTCAAAAGTGGCATATCCCCATCTTCTCCCATTGGACACCTTTGCAGGGAGTTACTGAATTATTGTCGGAATGCTTCCCAAGAGAAGGGACCTCGAAGATCAACCTCTTCAGCCTCCAGCTGGAGGAATATATAAGTACATTTCTAAAATTACACACACACACACACACACACACACACACACACACACACAGAGTGCACCAAAGTGGTCACTGTAGTTCCTGGACATTTTCTCGAGGAAATAAGAATCTGAGAAGTGTGGGTGATTTTTCCCGTATGTACATACATATTTTTGTCAAGAGCCTCTTTCCCCTGGGGAAGGGCATTTACTAGGGCAGCCCCAACTCCTGCCAAGGTGTGCTTTTCCTCTGCAAAGTTGATTAGGTGCTATAGACGCACTTGATGACTACTTCATTCCCAAAATCTTGTGCATTTTAAAGTTTAGTTCTATTTCTGATTTGATTCAAATCAGTGTGTCACAGATTCTAAAATATTCCACGTTTGTCTCTCTCCCCCCCACCTCCGACTATAACAATGTAACAATTCCTCCCAGGTGAGAGGAACAGTGATAGAAGAAACACCAGATGGCCAGGACAGCAGGGGCACACACATCAGGAAGGACAGTGGCTCCCGACTTCTTGGGCTGCTGTCCTAGCATGTCCTAGCTGGACATTGTGGCAAGTTAAGACTGTGAACTTTTGGAGTCAGAAAGCCCTGTATTTTAATCTTGGTCCCACCATATACAATGTGTGACCTCAGGCCAGTTAATCTCTGAAAGCCCTTTCAAAAAGTACAGACCATTGAAACACTCACTGGGGTATTATAAAGATTAAATGAGATAATGCACTTATAAAGCGCTTAGCAGCACGCCCGACACATAGTGAGTATTCAGTAAGTGATTGCTAGGGCTGTTATGATCCATGACAGACAAAGACCCAGTGCATTAATTTTTTTTTTTAAAGGGAGACATTAATACTCTGGTCTTGACAAACTGTGAATTGATTCTCTGCCTCTCCCACCACCACCCCCCGTTTGTGCACCTTCCCCCTTGTCTATTCATATTTTTCTGTGAACTTGTGGTTGCTGCCAAACGAGTAGAGCAAAATGGGAATTCAATTTAATTGAAAATACATACGTCAGTGTCGCAGCGTGAGAAAGGTGCCATCATTGGGCCATCACTTCTCATCACACACACACACACACACACACACACACACCCCACATGTGCCTGAATGATTCTGTGGGTCTCAAAGGAAAACACACCACTATTTCTCAGGGGTGATCATGTGCGGAAATAAAATGATTGCCTTTCTTTTTAAGTTTATTTATTTACTTTTAGAGAGAAAAAGAGTGCAAGCCAGGGAGGGGCTGAGAGAGAGAGAGGAAGAGAATGAGAGAATCCCAAGCAGTGGGACTGTCAGCAGTGTAGAGCCTGACATGGGGCTTGAACCCATGAACTGTGAGATCATGACCTGAGCTGAAATCAAGAGTCAAATGCTTAACTGACTGAGCTACCTAGGTGCCCCACATGATTGCCTTTCTAACAGTGATGATAATAGCTACAACTTACATAGCACTGTTACATGCTTTTTCTATTAATTAATGGATTTACCACTCATGGCAACCCTAAAGGATAGGCAGTATCATGATACCTACTTTATAGATGAAGAACTTGAGGCACAGAGAGGTTAACTGGCTTGACCATAAACACACAGAAAGTAAGGGACTGAGCTGGGATTCACATCCAAAAACATGGCTTCAGGGACCATACTCTTACTGTTCTGTTATGATCTAACACCTACCACTTATTGAGCATTTCCTCTGCCAGGAACTCTGTGTTCATGGTACCACATTTGCCCAACCTTACTCAATATCATAGAATTAGTAAGAAATAGAACCCAGATCCCACTGTAGGCCAATCTGACCTCAAAGTTATGGAACATACAAGCTCCCAAGAGAATCATGACTTTTCAGGAAACTCTAGGCAACCCGACTCAAGCACCACCTCCCTCAGAAATGTTTCCATCCACACCTGCCTAGACTTACCTCACCTCTTGGGGAGCCCATGCAACACTTAGCACCTGCATCTTCAGACCGTGA